CGAAGAGCTTTATTATGTAGATAATAATAAAAATAATAATAATAATAATAGAGCATTAGAAATCATTTTCTCCCAAGTGGGGGGGGGGACGTAATTCTTAGATATTTATATCCCTGAATTCTTATTATATTTAATGTTACACTAATAGTTGAATAATTAATTAGGCATGTATCTGCAGAATAGGTTTCCTGTAGTTCCAATATGAAGAACTCCTTTTTTAAGATCAAGGATACATTGATGCCGCTTCAACATATCCAAACCTAGATCAATCAATCAATCAATCAATCAATCAATCAATCAATCAATCAATCAATCAATCAATCAATCCCAAATCGACGTAAGGGAATAGGAATAAGGGAAGTGTAGGCGTAATTTCAATTAATTATAGAGATTAACAACGGACACCTTATAGCTTTGTCTGATCGAAGGCAAGATATAGATATTCATTATTCATGAAGCTTCTCTTTGAAAAAATTGCATATTTCTGCTTTAGAAACAATGGAGGAAATTGTCATTATAAAACAGGCTTCAAGCAGCATAAACGACGATATCTTCTTACTACTTTTCCAATTAGAAAGGAAATAATTAATTACCTAGGAGCATGTCCATTGGTTGGTCTTCTAGTATAGAGAAGGAGGAGGTCAGGAAATCCTTCTCAATCTGGATCTGGACCATGTGTACCCGACCTAGAGAATATATTGTACTGTATCCACCATGTGTACTCTACCTAGAGAATATATTGTACTGTATCCACCATGTGTACTCTACATAGAGAATATATTGTACTGTATCCACCATGTGTACTCGACCAAGAGAATATAGTGTACTGTATCCACCATGTGTACTCTACCTAGAGAATATATTGTACTGTATCCACCATGTGTAATCGACCTAGAGAATATAGTGTACTCGACTTTGAGAATATAAAGAACTCGACCTAGAGAATATAGTGTAATGTATCCACCATCTGTTATCGACCTAGATAATAAAGTGTACTATATTCACCGTGTGTACTCAAGTATAAAGTGTATTCAACCTAGAGTATATAGTGTACTCAACCTAGAGTATATAGTGTACTCAACCTAGAGAATATAGTGTACTCAACCTAGAGTATATAGTGTACTCAACCTAGAGTATATAGTGTACTCAACCTAGAGAATATAGTGTACTCAACCTAGAGAATATAGTGTACCCTCCGGTACCCTTAAAACCTTTCGTGTGTTCGTCAAGTATATAGATATTTGTGTAAACTTATCGTTCCCCACACCACTTGTATTCAGCTGCAGATTCCGGTGTGCGCTGTGTTGAATTCAGACTGTACTTAACACACACTAGAATTTACAGCTGAACTCAAGCGCGTTTCGATAAGTTTACACACAAATATCTCTGTACAAGACAAACACACAAAGATTTTAAGATTACCCAGATAATTCGTGCATAGCCCTTTTTGCCTGAAAAGTCACATGAAATTACGCTTACAGTCTCTTTAATGTGACAAGACAATATTGTTTACTGTCTCTTTAAGGATTCTATGATAAATAAACAATAATAGTTACCAATGATTTTTTGAGTTCCAACTCCTTTTGCTATCCCAGCCCATCGCTGATCTACCAGTCTCATGATATTACATCTTTCAGCAGCTTTCTAAATATTCAAAAAAAAACCTTAATATTTAATTTTTTTGCCTTACATTTCTTAAGTTTCCGGTTCACGCTGATGGTAGACCACCAATGTGGAATCCCCAGAGTGCCATTGGACGTTAAGGGACTGTGCCCGAAACACGTCGAACTTAAGTCAGAGTAACAATGAGTAGAAATCATGTTTTACAATGAACAATGAATTTTATTTTATACAATATTTCTTAGTTTACTGTGCTGCATATTACGCAAGTTTGTGCTTCGATAAAACGCACTTGAAAAAAACAAGGATATCTCCATCATTTTAGCCTTGACAAGGGTTAACAAAGTACCGATGTGAATCGTGCATGTAACTAATTGAGAAGAGGGTACCTTAAATTTCTTTGGTCGAAACTAGCTGAAGATATCCCACCCAGTTAGATTGAAAACCAACTAATATGGCGGCCGAAAATTTCGCTTTTTTTCGCATTTCGTTTTATCGCAAAAAATGCAAAGATTTCACCTTTTTGCGAAATTTTGCATTAATCTAATTCGCGAAAAAAATTAGAAATTATTAATTATGATATAATAATACTTCTAATGCCGAGCTGAGCAGAGAATTCCACAGTTTTTTTTCGCAATTAATTGTTGCAGCTGTGGTTTTCGCGGATTTTTTTCTCGCAAATTAACTTTTCTCTTTGTTTTCGCATTTTTTCACTTAATTCAATTTTGCGAAAAAATGCGAAATTTTGCGAAAAAGTTTGCGAATTACGAACGAATATTTTCGCGATAGTTTTGGTTCGCTTGAAGCCCTAACTTAAATTACGTTGACAGTTCCTATATACTCGCACCTGAGAACTAGTGTTGTTAATCGTCAATGATAGTTTTCAGAAATATGTTTAAGGGACCGTTCGGGAAAAATATTCGATTGCTACTAATCTTACTACTATCTGATGCGTCAATAAGGAAAAATATTCGATTGCTACTAATCTTACAACTATCTGATGCGTCAATAAGGAAAAATATTCGATTGCTACTAATCTTACTACTATCTGATGCGTCAATACGGAAAAACTTGTTAAAAACGACTCGTACCGAAAAATGTAGCGTTCATACAAATTCAGAAAGTTGCAACATACGACTCGGATCGTAAAAAAATCAATTTGATTAGATTAAAAGAATATAGGTGCAAAGTTAGCACCATTTATCTCTATTATTACAAGAGTTATTACAAACTCCAGGAGACTAGTGAGGTCCTTTGATTTTTCATAATAATTTTACAGATAGAAGTAAGGTTAGTAGCAATCACCAGAATGCTCTCTACCTGCGACATAATTGTGGCTTGTGCACCAGAATCTACAAAAGCTTTCACATCATGCCCATTCACTCTTCAATAAAAATAACCAAATTTTAACAGAGAACTAAACTTTCAAGGAGGTATTTTTTATTGAGTTGGGGAGAAAATGAAAAAATTGGACGTTAAAAGACTTATTTTTTTTCGTTATTTTCATACTTTTTAATCAGAAATAAATTTAGTAACACTAAAAGCAATTATTTTCCCAAATTCAGCGAATAAAACTCTAAAATATGCAACATCTGAAGTTAAACATTTATGGGGTTAGCTTAAAGATCCAAAATGAACCATTTTTATCAACAGGGGCGCCTAGAAATCCAATATCACTGAACACCCCCATCTTGGATTTCATTGGTCAAAAACTAAGAAAATAATAATTTTAGATTATTTTAAACCATACAATCCTTTACGCAAGTATAAAGTGTATTCAACCTAGAGTATATAGTAATATTTAAAATTTATTTTATAATTTACCTGCAGTTAATGTACAGCATAATAACTGAACCAAAACTCTCAGGACTATTTTCCATGGCGAGTTCCATATTTGCATCAATATTCTTCTGCGCAATCTCACGCGCAATCAGCTGCTGTGCTTCCAGGTCAAATGGGTCAGCGTTCATCATTCGGATTCGTTGCTGTTCCCGGTCTCTTCTAGCTGCTTGCTGTTCTCTTAAAACCTTGAATAGGAGCGTAAGTTAAAATAATTCTGACTGCTAGCTTCTCCCTTAGAACCTGCTGCAGGAGCAGCGTTAGTTTATTTTAGGCTGTTTTTTGCTCACTTAGGACCTAAGATAAAACAAGCGATATTTTAATTCTAACTGCTCATGGCAAATGGTAGATCTTACAACCTACAATGGAGCAGCATCATTTAGTTTTTGCTCCTTGCTGCTCTCTTAAAGCCTATGTTTAATTCTGAAACAGAGCAGAAGAAAACAGATTACAGGACTTAATAATTTATAAAATTCTCAATAATAATGAAAATAATGATAATAATAATAATAAAAAATGATAAAGATAACGATAACGATACGATAACGATAACGATACGATAACGATAACGATAACGATAACGATAGTGATAACGATAACAATAATAATAATGATACCTTGGCAAACTCCTCCAAGTTTCCACTCTGATGTGCTTCAGCTAAACGTGGGTTGTTCTAAAAGCAAAATAATATTGATTTATAATCAAGATGTTAATAAAAAATACAGGGTTATTCAGCGTTTTTACTAGGTTTTCAAACGCTGAATAAGGGAAAAATTTATTATTTCAAGGTTACAAAAATAAATTTTTGGTAATAATGCAAATCTCCAAANCCCTCCCTGCCCCTCGGTTACCTGTTTTAGTAAAGCAAGCTGGTCTGGGTTTGCTGATAACATTTCTCTGATGAAAGCTGGATCTTCTTCATTCCTTGCTGCTGCAGGTCTACTTCCTCCACCTCCTCCTCCTGTACATATATATCTTTTAATGGAAGCCATCTTGTTTATCTATCATTGGTCACCATCTTGTTTATCTGTCTATCATTGGTAGCTATCTTGTCTATTTATCATCTGCACCTATCTTGTTTATTTATCTATCATTGTTAGACAGCTTGTTTATCAATATATCATTGGTAACCATCTGGTTAATCTATCTATCATATGTAACCATCTTGTCTATCTATCTATCATTGGCAGACAACTTTTTATCTATCTAGCTAACTATCATTGGTAGCAATAGCAAACCTAGGTTTGTTGGTATCTGAATCCTGCTAAAATCAAAGGTAGGAAGTCCTCCAGCTCCTCCGACGGCTGCTCCTAGACCTCCTCCTCCGATGGCTCTTTGCTGCTCTGCGCCCCGTGGTCGAATTCTAAACAAATGCAAGTTGTTAAAAATCATTTCATTCAATGTGTTTTAATTTCTTAATTTATTGTGAGCCAAATAATTTTTCGGATTTCGGACAATGAATTTGCTAATTTTTGGGAGTTTTTTTTTAAATTGAAAAAATCATATTTGGTTGAAAACAGTGTTCAATGTATCTATTTTTTTTTAATTTAAGGTTTTTTTTAATTCGCTGATGAAAATGGACCAAACCTGTATAGAGTAAATAAAGTAAATGTTAGTTCCACATTTTATTGAAAATATATTTTGGTCTGGGTTGACCCTCGTCAGTTCTAGCAATATAATAACCATCAAATTCGATATTAAAAATTTTAAAACCACAAGAAAATACACAAACAATTTTTTTTAAAATTTGGTTAATTGGGGGAAAAAGTGATTTTCAGAAAAATAAGCAAAATACTGTTTAGGGAGAAAATAATTGATTTTTATTGAGTAAAACCATTCAAAAAAAAGGTAAAACCACTGAAAAACAAAAAAATCCTATGAATATTTAAAAATTAAAATGTGACCTGTCAAGAACGATCATATCTCCGTCCTTAATCCCATACTGAGCCAGGGTTTTACTGTTCTCCAGTAGTGGGATTCCATTGAAGAGTAATCCTATCTCAGTGCTAGGGATCCCTGCTTCAATTTCACAAAAAGCCTGAAAGATTTTCAAAAATGATTTAGCTATCTTTGTTTTTATTTCTCTATTCTATCTGAACTTCTCAAATCATAATTTATGAAGAAAATGAAATGAAGAAGTGTAATAATAATTTAGTGGTGTATATATATATATTTTAAAATCATCCCTTCTGTCCTTTGCCTCGACCTGAAAGATTTTCAAAAATGATTTAGCTATCTTCGTTTTAATTTCTCTATCTGAACTTCTCAAATCATAATTTATGAAGAAAATGAAATGAAGAAGTGTAATAATAATACAGTGGTGTATATTTATTTTTTAAATCATCCCTTCTGTCCTTTGCCTCGGCCTTTTAGGGGGCCAAGGGGTATATTTAATTTTTATTAGGAAATTATTTTTGGGGTAACAAGTATAAAAAAGGGAAAACATAACCTTCCGACCCAGCATTATTACGTTATTTTAAAAGTTTGAAATGAACTGATGACATAATTACAATAAAACGTTTTTTTGGTCACAAAGTAATTCTTCAGAATCATCTTATTAAGTAATTTCCTAAAGAACGATTTTCCGGTTTTCTCCACTACGTGCAATATTGGTAATTTAGTAGCTTTTAAATTGTTGTTGTCATTGCGCTAATGCCGCAATAAAAAGCAAAATAAAATGAAGTTAACGGACGACTAAAGAACATCATCTGAACTATGAAGTCATCTGACCTAAAAGAACTTTTCATGGAAAAGGATTACAGGTGTCATTATTGTTTATGAGTAAAGATTGATTGGACTGATTTTCATTTGGACTAACGTTCAAAAGGACTATAGACCTTTAAAAAACAAATATCTGTTAAATTGAAAATTTGTAAAATTTTTTTAAAACTTAAGCCTCCCATTATAATTAAGTTTTAAGTATTTTTACACAAAAAACCATATGATGTACAGCTGGTGCCCAAATAAACATGGAAATTGAGAGACGGCTTGAAAGTAGTTTTTGATTTCTGATATTCAATGCATGGCTTAAAGAATGTAAAATAACGAGACTGTACGTCTGACGAGCTTTTTATGAAGTGGTCTACCTTCCTTGTATATTTTCTTAAAAATTGACCTCAAGAAAAAAGACAATTTTAATTTATTAAATAAAATTAAATGAATTAAAATTTGTACAAATTTTGCAATATCTCTTTCGATTTTGAAGATACAAAAATGATAGACCTGAAAATCTCAAGACCAGGCGTTTTTTATGTTTAAGCTGGAATATTGCAATAATTGTATTCATGAAAAAATGCCACATGGATAGATCTACGATATAAAAGTCGTCACTAAATTGCCATATTAATTGGAACACACTGTCTCATGTATATTTGAGGGTTTATAGGTTATACGACAAATTGTGGGCCGTGCGCACTGCACGGCTAAGGACCATGAGCGCTGCGGCTAGGAAAGGTAAGGGGGCCTGGCTCTGCTGCCATAGATTTTTTTCATATGCACTTTATAATGCCGCAAATGAACTATACATACATGCAATCAGTGCAGTTAAACATTTTGTTCAATATGCCAGGGTAGTTCAGTTAATAAAGCATTTTATTTGTCGTCTTCAACATAAAAACTATCAGCGGCATTTACATTTTCTTGTTTACAAATTACAATTGTGCCACTGTCGGCCGAAAAACTGTTACTTGGCCGGCTTTTCTCATTGAATACACATTTTCACCATTATCAGTTTTAAAACTGTGAGCACTTAGCCCCCTAGACTTTCCTAGTAGCGGAGCTTGGCACTTTTACATGGTCTAACCGTAGCGCCGCGCTCGGCTTCTACAGCCTGTACTAGCCGCAGTGCTCGACCAAGATTGTTCCAAATCTTTCCGATTTCTTTAGAAGAGTAGACGTTGCTCAACAAGCTCCATTTTAATTTAGCTGCATGAAAATAGCTTATGCATTCAAATACTGAAACTTACGAGTATAAACCATTTCAGAAACCAGGATATAAATGTGTTAAAATGACGCAGGAATTTAGAGGAATTGTGGATTTGCCGTCGGAGATATTTTTGATGATTTATCAGCATTTAAATCAAACAGACAGAATTAGATTATCAGGTTAATAGACACGGGTCTGTCCTAGTGAACGATTTTTGGATTGAAGTTTGTGTAACTGCAGTATCATAAAGATAAAGAATGAGAAACCCGCCTTTCGATGTTCAATTTTTTCCGCAGGGGAGGCGGAAGGTAATACTTAAATTATATTCAACCATGAACTACTGTGATTTGTAAGTTGTTTATAGTATTTAATATTTGGACAAATCACCCACCAACCTAAATCTTTTAACGACATTTTTGGTAATTTTCCCATAGTTGGGTGTAAGAAAAAGAATGGTTTATTTTGAAGGAATAAATGTTCGATGTTCATTTACCGAGATCCTCAGTCAAAATTTGACAGAGCTTAAAAACCAAAACATAAACGGACAAACAGAGATTATTACTTTATATATATTATTTTCGGTGCTTCCTCCCCCCCTGTGCCGAAAAAAATTAGTCGACAGCATAGACATATGATTGATTTATAGTGAATCTATTTATTTAGTGGCGTGTAAGAGAATGCATGAGCTATGCTTAGATCCAGGCCTCTGGACGGAGTTCATTATTGACTGTATGGCTTTACATCAATTCTCTCCTCAAATTCTATCCTTTGCCACTAGAATGGTAAGCCACAAGCAACTACCCTTCCTCACCCCCATTTTTCAAAAATACCCCCCCCCCCTTGTGGATTGAGTATTTCTTAAATGCATACATTATTAAAAAAATCACGTATTTGCATCATTATTATAATTTATCTTAGTGTGAGGTCGAATCTGTTAAAGTCACCAACAAGTATATGGTTAAGGTAAGAATGGGGCCATCCTTTTTTTCCAAGAAATACTTTTTTTCTAAGTCGAAAATCCCTTCACCTTCACCTTTCTTTAAGAAAGTTATCTCTTTATTTCCGCTGAACGGGGAGGTGTTTAATTTTTAATTTATTCAATTAAAAAACTTGCAAATTAAGTTTGTTCCCCAGGGGTGTATATTTTCTTGAAAATCTTGCCCCCCCCCCTCCCTTTGAAAAGCATTTATTTACCCTGAAGTTGTGTATGGTTGCGGTGATTTTTAAGGGGGTTTTATTTGCGGAATTGAGGGGGGGGGGAGTTGGATGATTTTAGAAGAATTGGGGAAGAAAAAAGAGACATTTAAAGGCAATTTTTTTCATTCTTTTTGATAAATTTTTACCCCAACAAATTAGTATTTCCCCAATTAAGCGCTAAACCCGTAACAAAGTTTTGTGTTGAGCAATATTTTAGTATTATGGTCTATCAGATGCCTTCATTTTCCTGTTTGCGATGTAAGGGTCGGTTTAGACCAATTAATATCAGTGAAAAGGAGGCTGTTTTATAATCCTTTGTTATGTCCGACATTAAAAATAGGAATTTGAAAGAACAAAATTTTTTTGGGGTGCTTTTTTAGAGTGCTTGCCGAACTTGCCAGATAATGTCAATTATATTTTTCTATCCAGAGCATCGAAAATCATTTGTATTTTATTCCTGCTAGGTCAGTGAGCAGAGTATTGCTGAGTTGTTGCTTAAGTTTCAAACCTCCTTGATAAAATTAGGTACATTTCTTTCTTTCTTAAAGGGACTGTAAGCGAAATTTCAAGTGAGACTCCGTGCAAAGATGAAAATGTCCGATTTACAAAGGTACCCATAAAAGATTTGTTCGACAAAGTTTAAGAAAATCCATTTTTTTGGGTTATTTAAACTGTTTATTTTTATCTGTGGTGTCTGCAAAAATGAACAACGATGTTATCACAATTTTTATTAGATTAAAGATTCAAGAGTACCGTTGTACTTTGCATGGAGGGTCACTTGAAATTACGCTTAAAGTCCTTATAAAATGAATTTCTGCAATGTTTTTGTTCATCTAGAGTTCAGTGATGAAGTTGAAGTAACGACAAGGTTTATAGACAAACTAAGAAAAATGGATAAGTTGGAATCACTAGGTAATTTTTATGTTAAATTAAAATAAAATAAGAATTATTATAAAACTGGAATTTTTATTTGGAAAATTGGTTCTCAAATTCAATATACTAAGATACTAAGTATTAAAGAATGATCCTAGAATAAAACAAGGTTCAGATAACACGTTGACTTCATATAATAATATTATAATTAAACGGTGAAAAATTGATTAATTTTACTTATAATTCAAAGACACAGTTGATTGATTCTATTTACTACAATAATTGACGTATTTTACTGAAGGAAATATCATGACTGGTGAATCTTTAAAAAAATTAAATTAAGAGAAATGTATTGGCGCTGATATGATATAAATTATTTTTATGCTATAGTGGTTTGGCGTTTATATCAATACAATAAAGACGACTTTTATGTTTAGGTTTTGATTTTTGACAAACTTTTTTCCAGCTTTAAATGAACAGCTTCTCTGTGTCTGCATGTTAATGTGTATCCATGTTGTTTGAAAGTTAGAATTAAAAATTTAAATCGTAAATCGTCTTCATTGTGTTGATGTATACGACAACGATATTTATCAGTCACTTTAATATTATTTAGAATTACCAGGACTATCATTAACTAAGACAGGATATAGTTCTCTCAGTAAACTAACTAGGCTACAAAAGTTAAGGTTAGTTGGAGAGCTTAAACAGAAACTGAATGGGTTTATCTTCTCGAAAAATCTGTTTTCATTTTGGTTTAGAATACCAAGTTGTACGGGTAGTAGTGAGGAACTGATAAATCTGCTCGGGAACTGGAACAATCTCAAACTGCTCGATATCTCGGATATGGAAAAGGGAGCAGTCAATACTAAGGTTCTTAAGATGTAATTTTAAGGTTCCTTTTATTTACAGGGACTGTAATCGTTATTTCAAGTGATCCTACATGCAAAGATGTCAATGCCCGATTCACAACGATACCATATTGTTGTTTTTCTGAGTTTAAAATCGTTTGTTTCTGGTAATTCCTATTTGATGAAAATAATCAATTCCTATATAGAACAAATTGAATATCTCCCTCATTCTTGTTCAGACAAAGCTTTAATGGTACCAGTCTAAAAATGATGGGTCACTTTAAAATAAGTCTACAGTCCCTTTAAAGGGAGTGACTGGCTATGTAGGGTAGTTGAACTGAGTATGCAGTGTTGTGAAAAACTTCTTTCGGATTCATTTGAGACATATCTAACTTTTTAAAGTTCTGTAAATCCTGAGTTTGAGCGCAAATTCGGCGTTAAAAACTCCTACTTTGGGAGTGGACACGTTTTCAGAATCGGGTTTTTTAAATTTATTAAATGACGACGACATAAAATGTAAACTCAACTCTAATTAGTTGTTTAGGAACCGGTTGAGAAAATAAAAATCAATTTTATCATCGAAAATAAGTAATCAATTATTAGTTTCCATTTTCTCATTATTCTGGTTTCTCATTATTCACAAAGATTTTCTGCAGATTTTCTGTAAAAATTATTGAAAAGACGACATCTGCGAAAAAATTCAAAGAAAATAAGAAAGTGAACATAGTGATGAAGACGAAATAATTGATTCTAGCATTGATTTATTGACGAATTCATTTTTAGAAATATGTTCCCAACCATCTAATTAGATTACTGTATAATTTTTACATCATTTTTCGTCGTCGTTATTTAATAAATTTTAAAAAACCGATTCTGAAAACGTATCCACTCCCAAAGTAGGAGTTTTTAACGTCGAATTTGCGCTCTAACTGAGGATTTACAGATCTATAAATAGTTAAATATGTCTCAAATGAATCCGGAAGAAGTTTTCCACCTTACATAGCCAGTCACTCCCTTTAACGGTATTTTAATGTATTTAAAAGGTGATCCTTTAAATCTTCGTTTGATCAAGATACTCATGTTTTTCTATCTAATATTTGATAATTTACCACTGTGATTTTTCGGTAAAAATTACTTTCGGATATAAGTTTAAAGGATACCATTGTGAATCACACGCATCTCGAAGTGGAGACTTTAAGGGACTGTACACGTAATTTCAAGTGACTCTCCAGCAGGTAGTCACTTTAAATTACGTGTACAGTCCCTTCTAACAAAAATATCAAGTTATTAATTAGTTCAGCAAACATACAAACTATTGTTTGATAATCTGGCAGAATGGTTGGTGTCACAAACGATGATAATAAGAACTTAATTTAAATGATAGCATAAAAAACGTCAAAATTAAAATTTCATTTATTTTTAATACCCAAACACGAGTTGTAAAACCATATCTCATTCTTGTTTTAGTAAGTTCATTTCTTGGTTGATTGATTAATTGATTACTTACTACTTCTTACTTATTGTTGATTTTCAGCAGTCCCGTTGGGACCATTGTGATTGATTGATTGATTGATTGATTAATTCAAGTTTAGGTTCTAAGCGCTGTTACGAAGAATAATCCCAACCTTGAAAGTTTGATTATTGATGAATCAGACCGTGTAAATAATGGTTGCTGTAAGGTTAGACTTTAACATCTATAATATCTATAATTTCATCTTTACAATAAAGCTCTTCGCTTATATATACAGAGTGTCCCATACCATATTAGATCATCTCCGTTTGAACGCCAAAAGAAACCTATAATACTCGAAAAACCTCGCATATTCCACAAGAAAATTCTTAAATTAGCCTTATTTTTAATTTTTCAAAACAATTAATTCTTCTTGAATTTTCTTATTAGTCCCGAAAATCGTAATTTAGACCCATTGACGATCTAATATGATGTGGGACACCCTGTATATATTGATATGTTAGCTAAAGCTGGCAAAACTATCTAATATGATGTGGGACACCCTGTATATATTGATATGTTAGCTAAAGCTGGCAAAACGATCTAATATGATGTGGGACACCCTGTATATATTGATATGTTAGCTAAAGCTGGCAAAACGATCTAATATGATGTGGGACACCCTGTATATATTGATATGTTAGCTAAAGCTGGCAAAACGATCTAATATGATGTGGGACACCCTGTATATATTGATATGTTAGCTAAAGCTGGCAAAACGATCTAATATGATGTGGGACACCCTGTATATATTGATATGTTAGCTAAAGCTGGCAAAACGATCTAATATGATGTGGGACACCCTGTATATATTGATATGTTAGCTAAAGCTGGCAAAACGATCTAATATGATGTGGGACACCCTGTATATATTGATATGTTAGCTAAAGCTGGCAAAACGATCTAATATGATGTGGGACACCCTGTATATATTGATATGTTAGCTAAAGCTGGCAAAACGATCTAATATGATGTGGGACACCCTGTATATATTGATATGTTAGCTAAAGCTGGCAAAACGATCTAATATGATGTGGGACACCCTGTATATATTGATATGTTAGCTAAAGCTGGCAAAACGATCTAATATGATGTGGGACACCCTGTATATATTGATATGTTAGCTAAAGCTGGCAAAACGATCTAATATGATGTGGGACACCCTGTATATATTGATATGTTAGCTAAAGCTGGCAAAACGATCTAATATGATGTGGGACACCCTGTATATATTGATATGTTAGCTAAAGCTGGCAAAACGATCTAATATGATGTGGGACACCCTGTATATATTGATATGTTAGCTAAAGCTGGCAAAACGATCTAATATGATGTGGGACACCCTGTATATATTGATATGTTAGCTAAAGCTGGCAAAACGATCTAATATGATGTGGGACACCCTGTATATATTGATATGTTAGCTNCAGAGAAAAGAGTTAATTTGTAAACTTTAATATTGTTTAATGTAATTTTGCTTTAGACAAATATAAATGATAAATATAATTGTTTGTTGGTATTTGCAGGGTTGCATCATTTAAAATTTTTTTAAAATCCTTTATTTAAAAATTAAATAATTTTCCCATTTATGTTCTGGTTCTGATTTTAAAGAGGAAGGGAGGGGTGAACTATTTTTCAAGAAAACCCACAGCCCTGTAGGTTTGTATCAAATAAACGTCGTGGGGTTATATGTGTGTTTCCGAATTTGTAAAGTTTGACTTCAAAAAATATTTTTTTCCTATTAATAATATGCTAACTCTCTAGGCTATATCTGAGAACTGTCCTAATCTTCTTGAACTCTCTATGTATGGTTGTGATGGTGTGACTGAATCTGGAATTGTGAACCTTGTCAAGAAATGCCAGAAGCTTAGGTAATTTCAAGGAACACGAGCAGGCCCTTTTCACAGCGGTATCATTCTGTGGAAGACATCGTTGTTTTTTTAACGATAAGTGTTTATCTCTGACAATTTCCTTCATGGTTTCTATTGCAGAAATCCGCAAACACTTTGGTCATTTTTCAAAATTAAGAACATTGATGTCTCATTTATTCTTGATCTATAGCTTTAGTTTAGTTAAGTTTAGTTTAGTTTAGTTTAGTTTAGTTTAGTTTAGTTTAGTTTAGTTTAGTTTAGTTTAGTTTAGTTTAGTTTAGTTTAGTTTTTGGCCCCCCCCCCAAAGGGGTATAGTAGGCGTTACAGTGGTTAACATAATAAATCTGCATTAGAAATTTTTTTGTGATTCTTCTAATAGTAAAAATAAGGCAGATTTAATGCATGGATTTAATGAATAATATAAAAGATTGCAGATCTCATGTCACATAATCACATAACACATAACACATAACACATGAAAGATTGGTAATCGACGACGACATAAAATGTAAAAAGTTCTACAATAAACTACAGACGTCATGTATAGGAACATGTTGAGAAAATAAAAATTAATCTTATCATCAAAAATAAGTAATCTTGTTTAATTATTAGTTTTTATTTTCTCATTATTCTGGTTTCTCATTATTCACAAAGATTTTCTGCATATTTTCTGGAATTGTTATTTAAAAGACGAAATTTGAAGAATTTGAAGAAATCTGCGAATAAATTCATATAAAAAAGAAATTCAATATAATAATAAAAACGAAATAATCGATTTCAGCATTGATTTATTGAAAAATTTCTTTTGAGAAATATGTTCCTAACAATCTAATTAGATTTTTGTATAATTTTACTTTATTTTTCATTGTCGTTATTTAATGATTATAAAAAAAACTAATTCTGAAAACGTATCCACCCTCAAAGTAGGAGTTTTGAACGTCGAATTTGCGCTCAAACTCAGGATTTACAGATCTTTAAAAAGTTTAATATGTCTTAAATGAATCCGAAAGAAGTTTTCCACAACACTGCATACTTAGTTCAACTACCTTACGTAGCCGGTCACTCCCTTTAACGAAAATACATATTTAAATAACAAATAGTTTCATTCAATTCTATTCACCTTATTTAATAGCAGGTCAAAAAAGTTACTTTATCGCCCTGTTCTAGAGTTATAAAGTAACTTTATCACTCTACAACAGGAAATATTAGGTGTGATAAATTCCCTAAAAATGAATAAAGAATTTATTTATATAATCTCTGTTGTCTTCAGATTGTTGTCCCTGGGAAACCTAAGAATGTTATCGTGTCGAGCAATCAAGTAAGATTTATATGGGTGTATATTTTCTCAAAAATTACGGGACGCCCCGTTCTTTTTATCCGAACATCCTATTCCTCATATTTTCGTGGTTTCATATGTATAGCTTAGCTAGTAGATCTAGAACATCTTGTTGTTTAGATGTATAGCTGAGCTAGTGGATTTAGAACATCTTGATGTTTAGATGTATAGCTGAGCTAGTAGATCTAGAATATCTTGATGTTTAGATGTATAGCTGAGCTAGTAGATCTAGAACATCTTGATGTTTAGATGTATAGCTGAGCTAGTAGATCTAGAACATCTTGTTGTTAGATGTATAGGTGAGTTAGTAGATCTAGAACATCTTGATGTTTAGATGTATAGCTGAGCTAGTGGATCTAGAACATCTTGATGTTTACGGCTGTTCCTTGATACGAGAAAAGTCGCTGCAGATTCTTCTAGGAAATTATAATTAAGATCATCTATGAGGAACCAATTTTTAGTGAAAAAAAGGCCGATTTATCAGTTTTTCCTTTAGAGTAAATAGACACAGAGTCTTCATCCCCCCTCTACCACCCCACCCCCTCCTCCCATTTCCTGCCTGGGGTAGCTGTAACCCCCTCCCTTTGGTATCTCTGCATACTGCTACATGTATATCACGCCGTTGAGGTCACAGAGTCTGTATAAAGCTGAGAGAAAACAGCATTCTGTGTGCTTTCTTTTACAGACTACTTATATAACTTTACGCAAGTGCCATCTAGTGTGGGATATGTTTTTAAAATTTACAACTGACTGATTCCGCCAGTACTCAAGTACACATAAACTTTATATCTATAAACTCTATTGTTTTTCCCCAAAAGTAACGGGGAGGGGGGAATTTTGAAAATATACACACCCCACCAATTTTCTAACTTAAACGGTAATTCTTTCAACAAAATTATCGATCCAAGTTTTTAAAACCTCAATCAGAACTTATTGCTAGGAAATTTCTCTCGATCTAATGTGCATATTTTATAATAGTTTATTTTCTTAATTACTTCTTTGCCATAAACCCATAAAAACGTAATGTAAAAAGTTTAATCTTAATAAAGGAGAAAAAATGTATTTCTTGCGAACTTGTAAAAAAAATATTAAATGTCAAGTGCGTGTTTCTACATTAATTTTTTTTTCCTTTATAATTACTTCTTTTTTGTGAACCCAAAGAAATGTATTGGAAAGCTTAATATTTTCAAAGAACATGAGAGAAAATGTGTTTTTTTGCATATGTATTATTTATTCACTGCAAACTAGTATAAAAAATATGAAAAGTATGAATTGTAGAAATACAAGATTGCAAAGTCAATTTTAATTCGGATCCGCATCCGGCATAAGTTTGTATGAAAATTCGACTAATTTTTCGACTGAACTGATCAGGCCCTAATTTTTTGTGTGACTTCACATGACCTCTTATTTTTTTTTAAATGCGCCAATTCGAGAGAAAAAATCCGCCAAATTTGAAATTTGATTTAAAATGGCCATCTTTCAGGGAAACAATTAATAGCTAAAATTATTTACAGGAAAAGGGGCCGCGAATGGTACAGTCATGAAACAAATTTCCATTTTTGAATAGAGGGTCTCCTGAAAATACGCTTACGGTCCCTTTAATGAAGAAGGATGATTTCTAAAATCTGAACATGTTTACCTGGATAGTTAGAGATCAGGAGATTATCCGTCTGAACATGTTTACCTGGATAGTTAGAGATCAGGAGATTATCCGTCTTGACTCCGGATTTCCGGATTACCAAAAATTGACATTTATAATTTTTGGAAATATTAATTTGGATTTAATGTATTTTCTATTTAAATTATTATTCTTGTGTCCCGCTAATTCATTTTCGCATTGCATTAATTTAATTTAATTTATATAGAACGCTGCTCAAAGCTGAAGTATTTAAATATAAGGTAAATTTTATCGTAAGTAAAATATTAGTTTTTACCTTGGGGACAAAAAGGGAAAAAAGGCTATTTTTTTGCAATAATCACCCCTACCACAAAAAATTAAAAGAGAATCTCATGAGAAAAAAAATTCTACTAGAAAAATAAAAAATTAAATGATAAATGTGTTAAATTCTGCGAAAAAGTTTGCGAAATAAGCATGTAAATTTTGCCATTTTTTGCGAAAGTTTGATTCCGCTGGTGCCCTACTTTATACTATATCACTGCTATAATGAAATCGTGCATGTATTGAGCATGAATGATAAAGGTGCACACTGCACAATAGTTAAAATTCTTATTACTTCTTGTGTTTAGGGGTGTATCAGCTGAAGTGAAATTCATTGAGAAAATGGAAAAAAGATTTCCCAAAGTTGAGATTGCTTTCTATGCTTCAAGTCGGATGAGGGGAGGACGGAGGATGGCCCTAGAGCGGAAACCATTTTAATGTGGAAAAGGAAGACGATATTCAATATAGATTTTTATAGCTCAAATACTTAAACCAAGCACGTTTAAAATCTACCTTTTTCAGTGTTTATGTTCGCTTGACTTTTTAAAAATTAAAACTTGAGTCCAACAGTCGCCCCACTGTTTATTCTTACCTCACCTAGTGACCTCATCAGTATTAATATTTCAAACCATTATTTTTTATTATTTATTTTATTCTAAAATTCATAATAATTATTGCATTTTTTTGGGGATTGATTTTCAATACATTTTAAAGACAGAAAATTGTTTAACATTTTTCGAAAATTCAAGATGATTTAAAACCTTGCTGGATTGATTAAGTATGAAGTTTCTGGAAAATTAAAGTCATTTTTCTTAAATGGCTGTCTTATCTTAAGTGACCCTCAGATCCACAATCAATCAATCAACCGTTCAATCAATTATTCAATCACTAAATATTTCAGATTAATATGTCTGGTTAAAATGTCTAGACTAGAGAAAATATTTATCCTCCTGGAGACTGGGTCAACCTCGCAAACTAGGAAACTTGCTGCTACACAAATAGGGGAGGTAAGTAATAAGGGGTGTATATTTTCTATAAAAATCTCCCCTCTTTAAAAATTATTTTTTATCAACCTCGCAAACTAGGAAACTTGCTGCTACACAAATTGGGGAGGAAAGTAAAAGGGGTGTATATTTTCCATAAAAATCTCCCCTCATTAAAAATTATTTTTTATCAACGTCGCAAACTAGGAAACTATCTTTGACACAAAAAGGAGAGGTAAGTAGGGGTGTATATTTTCTTTGAAAATCTTCCACCCTCCCATCTTTAAAAATTATTTGTTTTCCCTAGATATTTACCTTTTTTCAAGGTTTTTATCGCAAAATTGAGGAAAAATAATGATGCTTTGAAAGAAATTAATGAATTTTGGGTAAAGAGTATCAAAAAGGGTTAGCATACTAAATATGGATTGGAAGGAACCTTGAAGGGTTATAGTAGGAGTAACAGTGGTTAGCATAGTAAATATGAATTGGAAGAAACCTTGAAGGGTTATATTAGGAGTAACAGTGGTTAGCATAGTAAATATGAATTGAAAGAAACCTTGAAGGGTTATAGTAGGAGTAACAGTGGTTAGCATAGTTAATATGAATTGGAAGAAACCTTGAAGTGTTATATTAGGAGTAACAGTGGTTAGCATACTAAATATGAATTGGAAGAAACCTTGAAGGGTTATAGTAGGAGTAACAGTGGTTAGCATAGTAAATATGAATTGGAAGAAACCTTGAAGGGTTATATTAGGAGTAACAGTGGTTAGTATACTAAAAATGAATTGGAAGGGTCTTGATTTCGACGGAATGATAGTTCATCATTTTTTATAATCTTTATTATTATTTATTAGTAGTAAAATAAGGCAGATTGATTGCATATATGTGTAAATGAAACTAAAGCTGGGTTCTTTGTTTCTAATTTTCAAATGAAATCTATTTTTTTATTTTAATTTTAAGTAAATTCTTAAAAAATTTTAAGTTTATATTTATTGTTTTTTTTTTCAGGTTGTAAAATCTAATCCGCAAGATTTGTTCACTGTACTGCAGAAGTTGTACAGTTACCTTTCTAACTCCTCCTGGCAGACAAGGATAGCGGCAGTACAGGTCAGGGGTACACATTTTCTTCAAATATCAGATTTTCTCCAACCCACTTTTAAAAAATTATTTTTGACCCCATTATCTTCCAATATTGATCAGATAAAGGTTTAAAGTGTTTGGTTGTTTCTCGAGACTACCCTTTTTAAAAAAGAAAGAAAAGTACGACGGTCTTTTTAAAAAGTAAATTTTTTATTACTTAAAGGGGATGGTGGAGTTGGCACATTTGATGTAGGGGGGGGGGGGCCCTGCCTTCATTTTTGGTTCAAATCTTCCAATTTTTTGGGTGCACGCCTAATT